CATATATAAGCCATTTTTAAAATCATCAGCTATCTTCCTGCTATTTACAGTTAATTTTTCTCATTCAGAATCTTTAACCAAAATCAGGGAAATTCTTAGTAGAAGGAGGTAGCCCTGATGTTAGGACTTAAGTACCAACATACCAAGAATTTCTTGAATTCAGTGGTTTATAGCACATGATATTTTGCATTGATAAGTGGTATCACACCATATTTGCATAAGAACATTATGCAATTTCCAAACAAAACAAAAAGCACCCAAACCCTATGAGTTACTTAATATTTTTAAACTTGATGCCTCCAAGTTATTGAAGAAGTTCAGAATGTTGGTAATGAATAACCTTTGCATCTCATTATTTTCTTGCATCCCCTTTCTTCCATTTCATCTGTAACTGATTCTATGCAAGAACATTTGACTATGTTCATTTTTCTGTACTGAACATTACAAAAATGTGGTCTAGCCCTAGCCAGTTTTTCTCAGTGGATAGAGCATTGGCCACAGACTGAAGGGCCCTGGGTTCAATTCCAATCAAAGGCTTGTACCTCAGTTGTAGGTTCGATCCCTGGCCCTGGGAGGCAAACAATTGATGTGTCTCTCTCATATCAATAGTTTTCTCTTTATGTCTCTCCCCCTCCTTTCCACTCTCTCTAAAAATCAATGGAAAAATATCCTCAGGTGAGGATTAACAAAAAATATCTATATATACTAGGGGCCCGGTGCACAAAGATTCGTGAACTGGGTGGGCGGGGGCGGGGAGGGGGGGTCCCCTCAGCTCGACCTGCACCCTCTCCAATCTGGGAGCCCTCTCCAATCCGGGAGTTTCTATCTGTCTTTGCAATCATATGAGCGAATTGAGACCCCAACCCAGTTTGGTTTGTTGCTCACAGAATAATAGAGGCTTTTTTTTTTCTTTGCTCCATTAGTGGAGACTTCCTGGAAGTTTTAGGATATCTTCCATTTAATTTTTCCTCGACACTCTGATTTAACTTATATCTCTCACCTTTGCTTTCCCTCCATCCCCAACCACAACAGTACCTTGCTCCAGGCTCACTTTGCTCTAGTGTTTAGGACAGTGATGGCGAATCTATGACACTCATGCCTCCTGGACTATTAAATCTATTTCTTTCACCAGGTAGGGGAAGTTTTCTGTCATTATTTCTTCAAATAGGTTTTCAATATCTTGCTTTCTCTCTTCTTCTGGCACCCCCATAATTCGGATGTTGGTATGCTTAAAGTTGTCCCAGAGGCTCCTTACACTATCTTCATATTTTTGGATTCTTTTTTCTTTTTGTTTTTCCGGTTGGGTGATTTTTGCTTTTTCGTATTTCAAATCTTTGACTTGATTCTTGCAATCCTCTAGTCTGCTGTTGGGTGTCTGTATAATATTCTTTATTTCAGTCAGTGTATGCTAGATTTCTAGTTGGTCCTTTTTCTAACCTCGAGGGTCTCACTAGATTTATTGAGGGTCTCACTAAATTTATTGGCAGTTTCTAGAAAATTCTTGAAAAACCTTTTGAACTCTATATCCAGTCGTTTGCTTTCCTCCATTTCTGTCATTTGTGACCTGTTTCTTTGTCTCCGCATTTTTTATGCTTCCCTGTGTTGATAGAGTGACTTTCTGTGCTAGGTGTCCTATAGGGCCCAGTGGCTCAGCCTCCGCAATTACCTGAGGTGGACACTTTTGGTGCACCCTTTATGGGCTTTGTGCATAGTCTTGTAGTTAAGTCTTGATTGTTGTAGGTATCACTGGGAGGAATTGACCTCCAGGCCAATTGGCTGTGAGAATCAGCTGTGTCTACAGTGGGAGAACTTCTGAGCTAGAGACACCCTTAGGGGCAAGACTTGCTTCAGTGGGGCTTTGGTGCTCACTGAGTCTGCCCCCTGAGTGTGTCCTTTATGGATCTGAGGAGTTGTAATCTGCATGGTCCCACTCTGACCACTGGGTACACTGGCTCTTGGATCTCTAAGGAGGTGCTAATTTAGCCTCTGCCTGAGCCGACCCAGCAGGAGCTATGGAGAGATCTGCAGATTCCTCTTCTTTGTTTGGGGTTTGGAGGTACCCAGATGAGGCACAGCTGTGAAGCAATGCAAGCTGCTGTGGGGCCTTGGGCCTTCTTTTGGATGTTCTGGGTCTCTCTGACCCAGCTGCAGTTAGTTAGGTAATTTTAGATTGCAAAGGGCCAGGCCATTCATATGCAAAAGCCTCTGTGCATAGCTTGGGTGGGGCGGGGTCTCAGGGGATCAACAGGGCGGAGCAAACAGCTATGACTGATCCTCAGCCCTACCCTAAGAGGCCCCGGTTCTCAGTGTCCCAGTAATCGCTGCAAGCACCTCTGAGAGAAAGCCGCCCTCGAGTTCCGACCGATGCCAGACAGTCCAGTTTCTCCCCTTATGTCCCCAGAGACTCACCTGGAACTGGAGTTCAGAGCAGTTGGGAGCTTGTGTCTCCCTCCCGATTGAAAAAGACAACCGCATCCTCAGTTGCCAGCCCTTTCGGCGTGCACCTTCGTACCTCTGCACTTTACTTCCGTACCTCCTCTGAGTCTCAGTGTGCTTTTCTCTTTCCTTCTAGTTGTAGAATTTCCACTCAGCCAGCCTTTCTGTGGTGATGTCCGTTTTGTCTTTTAGTTGTAGTTTTGAAGTGGTTGTGCGAAGCAGCAATTTCCAGTGTTTACCTATGCCGCCATCTTGGTTTCTCCACAGAATTTGGTATATTTTAGATTGGGGGATAGAGAATGGGTATCCAAAAACTGTAAATACCTTAAAAATCTGTAAAGGAAGAAAGTAGATTAGTGGTTCCCTAGGTCTGAGAAGGGAGGATGGGGAGTGACGCTAATGGGTACAAATTTTCTTGGGGGCTAATAAAAATGTTCTAAAGTTATAGTGATAGTTGAACAATTTTAAATATACTAAATACCATTGAACTGTACACTTTATTTTTTTTAATATATTTTATTGATTTTTTTACAGAGAGGAAGGGAGAGGGATAGTTAGAAACATCGATGAAAGAGAAACATCGATCAGCTGCCTCCTGCACACCCCCTACTGGGGATGTGCCCACAATCAAGGTACATGCTCTTGACCGGAATCGAACCTGGGACTCTTCAGTCCACAGGCCGACGCTCTAGCCACTGAGCCAAACTGGTCAGGTGAACTTTACACTTTAAATGGTTTGACTTCATGGTATATACATTAAATATCAATAAAACTTTATATCAATAAAGCTATTTTTTATAAAAAACAGGGACTATGTCTTTTTCATCTCTAACTTCAGCTAATTACTAAGACAAAATCTTATGCCAGTTGAAAAGATAGAAACTTAGATGTGAGCATATCTAAATATGTACCTAATTTGCTAGATGAATTTTTACCAGACCTCATCTTTTTTATTTGGAAAAACAAGAACAAGTTTTTAGAAATAGGTGTGTGAGATGATACTTAGCATTATTTTAGAGTTTTGTCTGCATTTCTTTATCTGATGTTAGAAAATACTAGACTTACATCTCAAAGGGAAGGTGGGGATAGGGGTAGGAGGTGGGGAGGGATTAACCAAAGAATTGATATGAATACTAGAGGTCCGATGCACAAAATTCATGCAAGAGTAGGCCTTCCTTCCCCCGGCTGCTGGCACCAGCTTACCCTCTGACACCCAGGAGCCAGGCTTCCCTCGCAGCCCCGGCTTCGTCTGGAAGGTCATCCGGAAGGACATCCGGTCTAATTAGCATATTATGCTTTTATTATTATAGATATGCATAACTCCTTGGGCACAGACTATAGTGTAGTGAAGGCCTGGGGAGGGGGCAGGGATAAGTGGAGAGGATCAATGGTGGGGGAGGGCAAATGTAATACTTTTAACAATAAAGATAATTTTTTAAAAATACAATGGAATTGTTTTTGTTCTATAGTTTTATTTAGAAAGAAAATGTTTTATTTCTTATCATGGTAAAACATCCTGTCTTCTTGGATTCCTTTAGGTTTTGCATTAGTAGGTCAACTCAGAAAATGAATATGTGATAAATATGAAATTTTTAAGTGTTTGGAACTACAGAGAGGGTCTTTGGAGCAACATGTCTTCTCAACATAATTAGTTATTCTTAAAAGAATTATGCCACTTTTTCTCCCCAGTAATTAGGAGAAAGGATTTATAGCTGAACTTTTTAAAAATTGTGTCTTAAAAAATGGAATTAGAACATTTCACATGTAATGTGATTTTAAATTCTAAAGATAACCTAGCCCTAACCGGTTTGGCTCAGTGGATAGAGCATCAGCCTGCAGACTAAAGGGTCCCAGGTTTGATTCCAGTCAAGGGCATGTACCTTGGTTGCGGGCACATCCCCAGTGGGGAGTGTTCAGGAGGCAACTAATCGATATTTCTCTCTCATCGATGTTTCTAACTCTCTATCCCTCTCCCTTCCTCTCTGTAAAAAATCAATAAAATATATTTTTTTTTAAAAACTAAAGGTAACATAACTTTAAAGGTTACACTCAGTACAATAGACATTTTTCACTTTTTACACATCTTTTCCACCTCTACTTTCAATAAAAAATCTATTTAGTTGTGTTTTGTATTATAAAATGCATCATGTTGTCTGAGGTAAACACCGATTTTTTTTCAAAGTGCAAGCTTATTGTTTCAACTAATTGCCTAATTTGTTTGTAAATGGGAAATTTTTATAAAAATGGAGAAAAGCTGTAAATTGCTATCTTGTGGTCTTTTCAAGTAAGCATCGTAATGTAGCAACGGTACAATCCATCTCTGTTCTAATCAATATATCAAAGTTATGTTATTAAGGAGATTTTAATGTTACTTTCAAAATTCTGCATTGTAATATTGCTCTTTACTGTTGACATCTGAAAATATTTGACTACATATTTTTTCTGTTAATATTTTAGTGTTACTAGGAAATGGTAAGTCAGTTTTCAAGCACACAAACACTTTGTGAATATTTTAGATAGCATTCCCTTTTCTAAGCATTATTTTTTTTATTTCATTTGCCTAGTGTCCACTTGGCAAGAAGAGTACTTCAGTTAGAAAAACAAAACTCGTTGGTTTTAAAAGACCTGGAACATCAAAAGGACCAAGTAACACAGCTTTCACAAGAGGTAAGTAACTTAAAAGAAACACATATATAAAGAATCACAGTGTTCGTTTTAAGTCCTTGTTATTCCTTTGTGTATTTTCTGAGAAGTTTAAAAAAAAAAGTTGTCTGATAGTAGAAAATGATTTTACAATTTATGAAACTAACTTTTAATGTTAAAGCTTTAGAAAACAACTTATAGTATATGGCAAAATTAAGATCAAAAGAGAGATTAAATGCTCAGACTAAATATAAATGCAGACTAGACAGACAGAGCTCTGATTTCTGGAAATATCAACTGGCAAAACAAGTTTGACAAATTTTAGTGGCATTTTAAGTTTTTAACTAAAGCCTCATTTTTAAAATAGATTTGCTTTTTTGCTTCTTTAATTGATTAAAAAAGTCACTTAACTACTAAACATACTTAACTTGATATAACCTTAAGTTCTCACATTCTTTGGTATATGATAGTTCCCAAATTATTTATTTTTAAAATCAGATTTTTTATTTTCCTTAGCCTTATATTGTATCATTTAAAGAATATATAGTTGAAATAGTTGAACCTTGAGCACTGCAGAGGTTAGGGTCGCAGACACACGCACCCTCCCCCGACCCCAGTTGAAAATCCCCGTGTAACTTTTGACTTCCCCAGAACTTTTCTATAGATAGTTGTCCCTCTGTAGCTGCTGGGGATTGTTCCAGGACACACACACACACACACACACACACACACACACCAAAATCCCCAGGTGCTCAAGTCCCCTATATGAAATGACAGAACAATGCATATAGTTGCCCCTTGGAACCGCAGATTCCCAATCTGGAATGTGAAACCCAGGGAAACGGAGGGCTGACTGTATATTTATTGAAAAAAATCCTCATATAAGTGAACTGGCACATCAAACCCGTGTTGTTCAAGGGTCATATACAGTGGGGCCTTGACTTACGAGTTTAATTCGTTCCGAGACTGAGCTCGTTAAGGAGCTCGTTAACTCAAATTACTCTATCAACTCAATGCAAAAAATCAGCCAAGAGACAGCTGGTATCTCAAAAAGCTCGTTAGTCGGGACACTCGTAAGTCAAGGCCCCACTGTATATGTTTTACTCAATCCTCTTGTTACTTAAATCAACATCTAATTACATTTTTCTGTAATTTTGAAATTCAAATAATAAAACAAAGCCATAGAAGCCACTTCACTAGTGTTCCTTTTAAAGTAGTGTATTAAAAAGTATTAAAACAAAGCACAGCTGGCGTGGCTCAGTGGTTGAGGGTCGACCTGTGAACCAGGAGGTCACATAATAGTGCAGTGCTTGACCCATAGTTAATGCTCAGGGTGGAAGCAGTACTGTGCTGGCAAATGTTAACAGCCAGCTCTCCAGAGAGAGGTGTGAGGTAGGGATGGCTCTGATTTGTAGCATTTGGTTATATCTGTGGTATAAATATTCTCACCATGACTAACTTCAAGCTGCCAACATGTTACTGAACATGGATGGAGAGGAGAAGAGATGCTCAGTAGCACACCATTACATAATACTTCCACCATGCAAATACAATGGACATATGTAAGTGCAAGAGCAGAGATAATAGTAAAAAATAGTAAAATAATTAAACATTGATCAATTTTTAAGTATATATTTCTTATTTAAATAAAATTTATTTTGTTTTAAATCTAAATAAAGTTTTAATAATGGTGGCATTCAACAACCAGCTCACAAAATTCCTCAAAATTTACCAATCAGCTCTTAAAAACTACAAGCCAGTTGCAGGGTCAAACCATGGAAGGCTATGTAAATAAATGACTAAAATACTGAATGAATCTCTGCTCGCTAATATGGTGTAGATCCCTCGTCTTTGTTTTATTTTCAGAATAACCTATCAAAAACACTTCTTAAAAAAATAAAATATTAAAATTCATATAAACTTGTATGTATTTATGTCATTATATTATTTTTCTTAAGTAATATAATTAACACCTTGGAGCAACATTAAATTGTTTTTTAATTTAAAAAACTACCTTGCAGCACTTCAGTTCATTTAAATAGGAATTTCTAAATGGATACACACTCCTATACAAATTGTAAGGGGAAAATATAGGAAATTAAATTAAGTAATGAAATTAAATTTCAATGAAATATAATTAACTTTACATGAAGCAATTTTTTAAAAACTTGTCTAATATTGAGAAAAATATTTAAATATTGAAATATTTGTGATTTGAAATGCTATGGTGTGTGCAATTTGCTTTAAAATATTCCAGAAGGCCCGGATGGGGTGGCTCAGTGGTTGAGTGTCGACCTATGAACCAGGAGGTCTTAGTTCAATTCCTAGGCACATGCCCAGGTTGCAGTCTCAGTCCCCAGTGTGGGGCATGCTGGAGGCAGCCAATCAATGATTCTTTTCTTTTCTCATTGCAAATGTTTCTGTCTCTCTCCCTCTTCCTTCCTCTCTGAAATCAATAAAAATATATTTAAAAATATTTATATATATATATATATATATATATATATATATATATATATTCCATAAGGAAGAGTGGGAAAGGGTTCAATAGATTTAAAAAATAAAAATCCACAGCCCTAGCAGGTTTGGCCCAGTGGATAGAATGTCAGCCCAAGGACTGAAGGGTCCATGGTTTAATTCTGGTCAAGGACATACACCTTTACTAGAGGCCTGGTGCATGAAAATTCATGCACTGGAGGGGGGTCCCTCAGCCCAGCCTGCCCCCTCTCACAGTCTGGGAGCCCTCAGGGGCGGGAGGTGACCCAGCGATCAGGGGAAGGTGACGCCCCCATCACACCTCTGCTGCTGCCACTGCTGGCAGTGCAAGCCTCAACCGGCCCTGGTTACGTGTACTCGGGTGGCCCTGGGCGGCTGGGCAGCCACCATCAAGGCTTGCCTGCACCTTGGGCTGGCCCTGGAAGGCTGAGGGGACTGGGGGACTCCAGAGGCAGGCGCGCAGTGGGGCTGAGGGGACTGGGCGCTGCCATCTTGTGGCTGTGGGTGCCACATCTTTGAGGGCGTGGCAGTCAATTAGCATACTCCCTTCTTATTGTCTGTGGGTGCTGCCATCATTGAGGGCGGGGCAGTCAGTTAGCATATTCCCTCATTATTGGCTGTGGGCACTGCCATCTTTGAGGGTGGGGCAGTCAGCATATTCCCTCCTTATTGGCTGTGGGTGCCGCCATCTTTGCGATGGCATGAGGGTCAATTAGCATATTCCCTCTTTATTAGATAGGATTACAGGTTTGATCCCCATTGGGGTGCATGTAGGAGGCAACCAATCGATGTGTCTCACATCGATGTTTCTCTCTCTCTGTCTCTCCCCCTCCCTTCCACTCTTTCTAAAAATCAATGGAAAAATATCCTCGGGTGAGGATTAACAAAAAAATGACACAAAAAACTCAAAATGTGGATAATGTTTGAAGCTGAGTGATGAGTACATATACTTCATTATTCAATTTCATACTTTTGTGAAATATTTTTCGTAAGACATATGGAGAAAGAATCAGTAAACCTATATTAAAAGACTTATGTTTATGCAGATGTATAACTTACCTTAAGATTTAAAATAAAGTATTATAATTTTAAATAGTCCATAAATTTTACTCTTTTCCAACCCACAAAAATGTTACAGACATAGCTCCTTTTGCACTTTTTTACAAATAAAAGGTTTGTAACAACCCTGCATTGAGCAAGTTTGTTGGCACCATTTTTTCAGCATTTGCTCACTTTATGTCTCTGACATTTTGGCAATTTTGAAATATTTCTTTTTTAAATATATTTTAATTTTTACTGATTTCAGAGAGGAAGGGAGAGGGAGAGAGAGAGAGAAATATTAATGATGAGAGAGAATCATTGATTGGCTGCCTCCTGCACACCCCTACTAGGGATCGAGCCTGCAACCCCAGGCATGTGCCCTTGACTGGAATTGAACCTGGGACCCTTCAGTCCACAGTCTGACGCTCTATCCACTGAGCCAAACCAGTTAGGGCTTGAAATATTTCAAACTTTTTTATTGTTATATCTGTTATGGTGATCTGTGATCAGTGATCTTTGATGTTACTATTGTAACTGTTTTGGACCTCCGTGAACCGTGCCCATGTGAGACAGTAAGCTTAATTGATAAATCTTTGTATTCTGACTGCTCCACCTACTGACAGTTCCCCTGTATCCCCGAGCCTTCCAATTCACTCCAGTGTTGAAATTAGGCCCATTAATAACCCTACAATTGCCTCTAAATGTTCAAGTGAAAGAAGGAGTCGCATGTCTCTCACTTTAAATCAAAAAACAGTGATTAAGTTTACTAGTAGTCAGAAAGGCATGTCATAAGCCCAGAAAGCTAGATTGGAAGCTAGGCTTCTTGTGTCAAAGTTTGCCAGGTTGTGAGTTTGAAGGAAATTAAAAATGCCACTCAGTGAACACACAAATGATAAGAAAGCGAAACAGCCTTATTGCTGATATGGATAGTTTTAGTAATCTGGATAGACACAGCGGCCACAACATTCCCTTAAACCAAAGCCTAATGCAGAGCAAGGCCCTAATTCTCTTCAGTTCTCTGAAGGCTGAGAGAGGTAAGGAAGCTGCAGAAGAAAAGTTTGAAGCTAGCAAAGGTTGGTTCATTAGGTGTAAGAAAAGAAGCCATCTCCATGACATAAAAGTGCAAGGTGAAGCAGCAAGTGCTGATGGAGAAGTTACAGCAAGTTATATAGAAGATCTAGCTAAGGTCACTAATGAAGGTGGCTACATTAAACAACAGATTTTCAATGTAGATGAAACAGCAATACAAGATACCATCTAGGACTTTTCATAGCTAGAAAGAAGTCATTGCCTGGCTTCAAAGGACAAGCTGACTCTCTTGTTGGGGGCTAATGTAGCTGGTGTCTTTAGGTTGAAGCCAGTGCTCATTTACCATTCCAGAAATCCTAGGGCCCTTAGGAATTCTGCTGAATCTCCTCTGTCTGTGTTCTATAAATAGAACATCAAAGCCTAGATGATAGCACATCTGTCTACAACATGGTTGACTG